GACATGCTCTTCTGGGGACATGCTATTAAAACTGCTTTCTCAAGCATGCCCTTTCTTAGGGGCCGAGATGCTTAGGACATTTTTCAGGAATGCTGTGTGTTCAAACCCCAGGCTATCAATAGCCTGCATCTACTGTACTACAAAGGGCAGACCCTCTGGAAGGAGGCCATCACATCCTATGTTTGCCTGACCACAGGGGAAAATGTTCATTTAGTGTATATGGGCAAATCTGTACAAGGTTAACATTTGCAGGGGCTAAAATGGCAAAGACTATGAAGTCAAACTTTAGCATTAGATCAGCCGTTTTACTTATATCCAAAACCTCAGGGTTTCGAGCATTAACTAAAAGTGAACAATGTCAAGGCAATACATGACAGGGCTAGTTGTAAGCCGAGTTCCTGGGTTCCCTGACTTCTAAGGAAATGTCCTGTCCTGTCCAAGTTACCCTGGATTTTTCGGAGTCAGTCATCCTAAGGGGGCCCAGGAGAACTGAACTCATCTGGAAAATCCTTTTTGTATTTGTTAAAGAGAGCGCGGCCTTGGCGAGGCTTCCTTTCCGAGAGTTGGAAGATTGTATGGAGGTTTGTTTGGTGGTCCCTCGGGGATAGATCCTGAAAGAGGAAAACACTGTCATTTTAAGTTCCTGCTATTGCCAACTGCTTCTCAGCAGCGCATGTTAGGGCCTCTTCATTTTCCCACTTGCAGTGGTTTAGAGTGAGGATAGATTCTGGGGTGGATGCCATGATCTCTGCTCCATGGCCATGTCTCAACACTGATGAAGAAGGAAAGAAGACTGACCACATTCGGGGAGGCAGGAAGGCAATGAAGCATCTGGAGAAAGGAGAATATTGAAACAAATACATCAATAGAAGAACACAATTCCCCTTGACTGTTCCTCTAGAAAGGAGGGAGGGAGGGAGGGAGGGAGGGAGGAGAGAGCTGGTTCGCTCTTGGAAGGAAAACTAATGGAAGGGAGATTCCATGGAGCTGCAGAGGCCAGGGCACTTAAGTCCCTGTGGCACATCTTGCAGGACTACCTGTGTGTCAAGGGTGTAATGAGATGTAGCTAGGCAGTTGTCTGCTTCCTGTTATTTCACCTTCACACACACACACACACACACACACACACACACGCCATAAATCATGGATCTTGGCCTCTTGCTGGAACAATTCACTTGGGTTGAACCCCAAATACCTGAGAGTCTAGCTTTAGACAAGACCATATACTACCTCCTTCAGTGTCGTCAGTGCCCAAGAGGGCACTAGCTCAGGGTGGTGGGCTGACCATTCCCAGGCTCCGGGTGCAGGCTCTTGGAGCACAAAGGGAGACTCTTCCTTTTTTTCTTCTAAACAGTCTTATTAGCACTTCATCCACATGTCATATAATTCAATAATTCAGTCATATCAAAAAGTTGTACAATTGACACCGTATTAAATTCTAGAATGTTTTCTTCTTCCTTGAACTCTTCATTATTTATGTAATTCTTTTAATTGTGGGAAAAATATACACAACAAAACATTCTCCAATTCCACAACTTCTTGAATAATTCACTGCCACTGATTATACTCTTTGTGTTGTACAGCCATATTGCTATCCTTTTCCAAATTATTCTACCACCATTGACATAAACTCACTGTCCCCTAAGCAACAATTTTTCTCCTTCACCCATGGTAACCATTGGTCAAGTTTGAGGGTTTTTTTCATTATTTTTTATTTTAATAAATCATTTTTTTAATTAAAAGATCATTTTATTAGGGACTCTTACAGCTCTCTCAATGTCCAACTATCGCACACATATGAGGCCACTGAAAATATCATGATTTGGGTCAAGTGCACCCTTACTCCTCGAGTAACATCCTTGCTTCTCAACACTTTCTTTTTTTTTAATCGTTTTATTAGGGTCTTATACAACTCTATCACAATTCAATTATGTAAAGCACATTTGTACATCCATTGCCCTCATCATTCTCAAAACATTTGCTCTCTAC